ACAGAGACTAACAGAGCAAATTGTCTGATTTTGTACCAGAATTGAATTAAAATCGTTCAACATGTTTCTTCTATTGATCTTGGACTATTTGGTCAAAGAAAACAACCATTTAAAGTGCATTTTGTATTGATATTCTATCTAAATCCCATTATGAAACAATAAAAAATTTGGCAACTAAAATTACGTCTATTGAAGAACTATCCAATTTTTAAGCAGATGTTCTTGAAGACATCGATGTCATTTCAACTGACATGGGATTTTATTGAAACTCCATATGGAGCTAAGCAAGAGAGGCAATGGACGGAAAAATTTGATTGATTTTAACTTGCGATAAATTTTCCGAGGAGATTCTCCCTGGCAAGGGGATAAAAGCCAACTTTCCAAGCTAATCTTGATTTCTGGTTTTCTGATTGTGCCCAGACTGTTGGTGGTTGGCTGTCAGTTAAAGGAAGAGTGGAAATGACAGGCTGTGCTGTTGTTACGCCATCAATTACCCCAACCCCACTTTTCACTGAGGAGGCCAAAGGCGGGGGCACACAAACCCTGCAAATCAATACTTTACATGCAAGTCCAATGACGACCCAAATCCTACTCCAGCAAGCAGAAGAACCCAAACTGACCTCCCCCGACATGTAGGGAGCAACCAGTATTGATAGTTGACTGGTAAATGCTGTCGGCCTTGGTTACTATTCACGTCAGGCAGTGCTAGAACCATCCCAAATCAGATTACTTTGGAGAAGAACTTCTCTCTTTGCTGGTAGTCTGATAACCTTTGTAAGGCTGAACTATTTCAGCAAAGCAATCATTCTGGCAATAACTATCTTACATGATTGTTCATTCCAGTTTCCACTCTATGGTCAGCAAAAGAGGCTGTCCACATGAGCCCCTAAATATGGTGACAGGCCTTGTTTCTGTGGCCAACATTACCAACTCCGGTCCGGTAATGGAATGACATAGCATGAAGTTTGTGAGGAGAAATGCTCATATTGTTAACGATACTTATCATATACACCAAAAAACAATTTGCTCAACTAGTCTGAACACACAACAGCCCTTTACTGGATAAACTGTGTTCGAAGTAAGTGTGGCCCAGGGCTTCTTGAGAATTGCTCTGATAGTATTTGAATCTAGGCGCTCCCTAAATCTTTGATTTTTTAATTTAAGGCTTTTTTGACAAGGACCACTTCCACGTTTAATTTTGTAAATTGGATAAAAATGATGTTTCAAATCTCATCCAAGAGCATCTCAATGAAGTTTTACACCCGTTTTAGCAGTTTTCTGTCAAATCAACTTAGGGTACACCAACAATGGGCTACCAACATTGTGCCCTGATTTGAAATGAGACTGGTATTTGAGTTGACAAACAAACTCTTTAACCACGAGGATACCCCAACATCTACTGCATCAAAAAGAATCAAACAATCACTTCCTTCCCCACCAATACATCCAAGAATTTCTGGAATTAATATTTAATCAATATCAGGGAATTTGAAGTTACCTCACACCATCCACTAAATCTGTTCCAAAACCAACACACCAGAAGCATCTTGTTGTTGCTCCCCATAATGAAGAGACATCCAAAGCAACCATTACCACATCACTGGAGACAACCACAGTCATCTCTGACACAACAAATCATGAAACAAGGGACATGAGAGAATGGAGAGAATCAACTATGTCTGCAGTCATGACAGCATCCATATACTTAGCCACACTTCATCAATATCCATTTTCAAGTCTGCAACCGGTGCAGGGATGTCAACCGCCACATAAACGTCTTGTCTGGCGTCTTCATTACCAACCAATTGACGTCTCACATGCCTCAACAGCATACCTTCTAATTTACCCCAAAGTATACTTCAGGCTGCGGTGATAGATAAGGGCCAAGCAGATTTCCACCGCCAGATGATGACATATATGGCTGTGTAAAGAACCATTCCCACCACATTCAGCTGGTGTAGCTGACTAGGTTCTTATGCATTTGAACATGACTGCACTCCAAATAGCAGTGTAAAGACTGTGATGCCGAAACGTGGTCGTCCGCCACTCATTGTCACTTCACACCTATCATAAGATGGCTTAATGACCATCTTCATAATCTGTTTCAATTGCGTAAAGATACTGATCTGCAGGGTTTTATGCGACGCACAAATGTGCGTCCTGTACACGCAAATGTTGAGATTGGAAGCAGAAGAATAACATACAGCGTCCCGAGGGATGCACAATAATATCATTGAACCTACAGCGCATCAAGAGCAGTTATGGGTGTTTGTCATTTCATCCGTCAATCATTACCACTATCAAGAGGATCATCGATTCATTCCAGGCTCCCAAGTAATTATCAAAACGTACAGTACATGACACCACATCATTTCATTACTTTACAGGACCCTCATATAGCCTGTAAAAATTAATTAAGGTCCTCTGGACCCCCACTTTTGAAAGTCAAGGTAAAACTCTGAATACGTTGTATGGAAAGGGTTTGAAATTCACTTAGGTCCAACACCAAGTTCAGAAACGACTCATCACATGTCCTTGTGGACTACTACTTTAACCATTACCGATGGCATCTCTGTAGTGAAACAATAATGAAAATATTTAACACAGAAAGTGTTTTAGTTAAAATGAGTGATGGAATGTTGTATTACGCCACAGTCATCAATATTCGATTTGGGCTAGGAGAGAGAGTGTTCGAAAGTATGACCAACCATCCCTACTACAGGGGCAGACAACTGATGGATTGTGTCCAAAATGGAGACTCATTATGAATGAAATTGCAAAATCCAATGCCGATATGACATTTAATTTTAACTCACTCACTGTAAAACCAAACATGCAAATTGTTAAAAAATATATATATATATTAACATGAGTCTTGATGAAACACTGTTCCTACAGGCAGGGGTACTGGGGACCTGTTCTGACTGGGAATCCAGGCTAAATCTCTGTTCAATTGTTATGATCCAGACTAACATAAGGAGGTATAGTTTAGGCCAGTATTCTACTGCAGCATGTTCACAAGAGGACACAAAATACATTGAATACGGTACAGAATTTCAGAGCTTTTCTAATTATTAGATTTCACTGATGGATGGTTTCAGTTTCCAACTAAGAAATCGATCACAAATGCTCACAAACTATTTTCTAAAAATAGGAAGTATTTTCTAATAATAGGAGTTCAATGAAATGAATTAATATGTGGTAATGGAGTTTTCAAGGTCTGCTGATATAACAACTTTTTTTATGTTTTAGTTTTAAGAAGGTTTTAGTTTTTATTTATTGATAATTACATGAAGACTACTGAGAAAGATTTTCCATTTCAATCATGAATTGTCATTAATTGATAAAATATTTTTCAAACCAATGATCAATTTTTGCATTTTCTAACAAGTCGGTTGCAATAACTTTCAAGTCTCAGCTTGTCTTTAGTTGTGTTTAAAATTAAAGGCAGGTCCTGGTGTCCTTACATTTTACTCATATATATGTGAATCAAGGGAACCATTAAATGATCACTTTTACCATTGGTATTATCACAAGGAACCCTTGACTGTCATGCATAAAGACTGTCATGCATAATTGTTAGCCTGTTTGAACACCATTTGCAACAGATTTGAGTGTAAATGTATTTGGACCATAATTAGCAAAGGTAGATTCTACAAGCCTTGGGCTTGGGACTTAGTGTTCAAGTAGCAGACTGAAACAAGATGAAGGAGTCAGGCTTTATGCTGATTTGGCATTATTGCTGCAGTATTACAAAATGACACACCATGAACGACTCCACTCCATCCATTTGACGAAACATTTTGACAAGTAAACACCCTGACAACTGGCTACCCAAATGCCCTCCTTATTCACGTGTCGAACAATAAACAACTTATGGATACATATTTATTCATGTCAGTCATCAATGAATCTGTCTATCAAACTAGGAGAAATAATGGGCCAGGTATTTGGCAGGTCGTTTTGGTTTCGTCAGGGCTCAGTAACCAGGGTCCCCGGGCATTCTAGCGCACCATATAATATGTTTGTTTGTTTGTCAGCAATATTCCAGCTATATGAGGATGGTCATATAATCAAGTCTGGACCAGACAATCCAGTGATTGATATAATGAACATGAATCTATGCAATTGGTATACGATGACACATTATCCAAGTCTAAGCAAGCCCAACGGCCCTATCCTGTCAGTCGCCTCTTACAACAAGCATGGGTTGATGAACACCTATTCCAACCCAGATCTTCACGGGTCCATGTGATATGTATGACAATACCTTAATCACTCCCATGCTGTCTAAAGCCACAGCAAAAGGAAATGTTTACATTGATGCTTTACAGGCAATAAAAATGTGTCTATCATGAATGTGTAAATGTTCAACATGAGCAGGCTGTTTTGTATAAGCTTCTGCCTTAGCTTAATTGTGATCTAAATACACCACAATGAATATGCACTGACACATCAGGACAACACATGTCAACAAAGATTCATTGCCAGAACCCAGTCTTGTTAACCTTTATTTTTTTTACCAACATTGGAGCTGCATGTCATCAAGGAATAACACGTTCCAATAATTATAATTTGCTGGCCTTTTCTACTTTTGCCACATATGCCATATTTCATTCTCTCAACCACACCCCAGAGTTCTCTTAATCAGCAATATCAATTACTTCCTCACTGAAACATCCATTTCATAGCCAATAGCGTCCATCATCATAATAACATCGAGAACATTGACAATATTCATTAGCTTTATTTTACCATTTAGTTAAAATTCCATTCATGTAATGAATGCAGGTTCACTAAATGAGCTTGTATTTGAAGGTTTATTGAGAAGCTAAGTAGCTTTACCTTTTAACGACCTGTTATAATTTCTCAGAAGAGTATGCTACAATGGTATAAATAATCCAATACATTGCCATAGGAGCTTTGTTAGGTTGAGAAGTACTATAGCATACTTTCTACAAAAGGTCTACAAGTAATAGGGTCCTAAGATCTGTTCTTACCTTCTCTAAGCATGCCAACTCGTAAACATTTTTGAAACCGGCAGGCTTGACATGCCTTTCTTCTTCTTTTGGTGATTTCACAGTCTTGACTTGCTGGGCAGGAGTATTCAATATTTCCTACAACAGAAAATAATAACTAAGTCCCATTCATCACAGTTGTTGACAGCCCCACGATTTCATTTACACTTTATGAGGTAGGGCTTAATACTACTTCAATAGCTTGTATAACAATCATCACATTTTGGTGAATATTTCTCTTTTGAATATTCAAGAGTTGGCTCTGTAGTAATCATTTCACAGTATATAGCTTCTAAATCTTCCACCGCATAGTTAGAGGAGAAAAAGACAAGCAATTAATTCACACATATAATCCAATCATTTTTTTAGTTTTTAATTAACAATCAACATCTCAGTAAATTTGTTGTTTACCTTTAATCACGTACGTGCAGTGCCATACGTCTTGTCAATTTGTTATCAAAGAGGCAATTCATGAAATAACCATCAACAAACTTGTAGTCTTTACAAAATTCTACTAAAGCTTGGTTTTTTCAAAACTATTAAGTGGTAAAAAGTCCTAATAATTTTTCTTTGCAATAAAGCAGCTGACATTCCCCAAACAAAAATCAATCTAGTCCAACTTGAACCTGGCATTATCATGAAATCACAGCAATTGTACGCTTATCGCTTCCTAACAGTCAATCTAAAGCCTTGGGCCTATTCAGAAACCCAACACGTTTATTACTATGATTAGTGGAACGTATTGGATTTCTACCATAAAGCAGGTTGAGCCATGTCAACACTAGTGTGCTTTGCAAGGAAGTAGGTACAGTCCTACAAATGCTGGGGTTATATACATGCTATGTCACACAGCTGCACAGAAGAAATAGCACAACACACAATTTGTCACTGAACTTGACTTCAGATGTACTCCCAGAGGTGTGATAATACATTTTTCATGGCTCAAGGCCCTAATGACCATGGGATTGGAATCTGATAAATATAAAAAATTGAAATCGAGATCTTTCACAAAAACATGCTAAATTCAATTCATTCATTGATCCTTGATAAAGCATGGAACTGTGAACATGTGAAAGTTGCTCTCACCAATATTCCACTGGGAATTATTACACTGAAATTTGAATTTAAAGAACAGAGGTTTTGATACATTCACTATTTTCGTATTTTAAAACAATTCTTGCTATATCTCAAAGCTCAGTTCATGTAAACAAAGACCCCAGCGAGATAGCTCTCCTGAGAAATAGTTATTTGAATTCAATAAAGTTTCACTTTCCTTGATCAAAAAGAGAGCTTGTTCCCATACCTCAGTAAACTGTCCATAACTTATAATGCTTTCTCTCAAATACCTACCTCCTTGTTTTAAGCACACTAGACATTTCCATAACTTTCCATTTTCAAATGTCAATGACAGAATTCATTTAAATCAAAAGGACCAGATGTGCAAAAGGCGGCACCATCAGTGTCAACTCTAACTTAATTCAGATCATGACAGATGAAAAATGGAGGTCATAGCAGGACAGTGCATATTCAGCGCTCAAGAGCAGAATTAACTCGGCAACATGGTTGGTAGGTGTAATTCAGGTCATGATGACCCAAGCCTGTGCAACTCAGTATGTGCCCAAAACTCTTAGGCTTCTAGCCCAAATTTGGCTCTTAGCACCATTTTAAGTGGATTTTAGTGTTATTATATGGACTAATATTTTCTGAGCCTACTAGACCAAACAGATCTTTACTTGGGCTTCAGATTAGTGGCCATAATCACTGACTGACAATTGGAATATATTTATATAATCTAACAACTCTTCGGAAATCTGGATCACTATGTATTTTATAGTCTTCTTGAAGATATAATTACCATTAATTCAACAGTTCAAATATTCATTTTACTACCATGACATACTGGGAATCAGCTTGCTCACAAAACATTAACCACCTAATCCTCATTTTAGTTGACAAGAACACAAATCTGCAAGAGTTAAAGAATTCATAGAACTATAAAATATAGAAGGTTTTCATATAATTATATACAGGAACATACGACAGAAACTGATGATAGTGGGCTAGCTTTGTTAGCACCATAGCCATGTTGGTAGGTTTCACCAGAGTGGTAAACGTCTGAGACCTGCATTACTTCGGGCTTTCCTCCCATGTTAAGCTAAAACACTGTGACATAACTGGAATAATGTTCAAAGTGGTGTTAAACCCAACTCACCCATTGACTCACTCATAATAGTGATGTAAATGAGTTGCTACACAGTAGAACTATGCTTCCCCAGAATTGCCACAGGAGATGAATACTTAGTAAAAGTTTGTGTGGTTTGCAATCACCTTCACATTCTTCTCTAGATACACGACACGCACTACTTGTTATCACACAAAATATACAAAGCAGCTGTGATTTGAAAAAAACTTCACTTCCATTTCTCAATCCCCTTAGCAGTTAGCTACATTAGTAGAAGGCCTGACAAGACAAATAGTTCTGTACTGGCTGGGACCCAAGCCTAAAGAGGGCCTCTATACCACAAGTACATATTTCAAGAGGTAAATACTAACATTGCATATCACAACAGATTATAAGAACCCATCTGAACTCTACAACTGCCAGTGTAATGTGCACAATCTTCTTATAGCTGTCTTGTGGGGGATTTTCTGTCTTTTTTCATTATTCAGATTTAAGGTTGATATACAGATCAATGTGTAAGACCTACGGGGCCTAAGATCACCTTGAATCTGCTTCAGTGTAGTTAGTTCCATAACATGGTAAATGTTTGCTCAAGAAAGTAACTAAGTGTTAAGACTTATTCAAGTATCTTTTTCCTTCATTGACAATCAATCACAGCAAACCAGGGACTGATAACATGAGCACTGATCAATGGGTAGACACAATCTGAGGCAGGTAACAGAACCTGACTACTTGATGGTTTGGGGTTTGTTTTGTTCCGTTTGTGAGGTGAGGTGAAATTGGGTTTAACGTCGCGTCCAAGATTATTGCACTTATATAGCGACGTGCATGCACGTGTATGTGTGTGTGTAGCTGCTTGTACTAGTCCGGACTGATGCCGATTTATAGTGCTAGCTCACTGAGATACCATGCCGCAGTTTAACAGGAATACCCCACTCAGACACAGTATACTGACTCCGAGCCGACCAGTCCTTGATTTAGCCCCTTAATGTCGAGCGCCAGACAGGGTAACAACAAGTACAATCTTTGAACGTCTTTTTGTATGACGCGGCCGGGGATCGAACCCCGGACCTTCCGCTCTCCGTGTTCCGTTTGTGGTTTTATCACCAGTTTAGTCAGCTTTCATGGATAGTGAGTGAGAGAGTTACGTTTAACGTCCCATCGGCAATATTTTAGCCATATCGTGACGATTTATGGCAAGAATGAGGTAGGTACCTGATCTGACCCAACCTCCACACAAGGTGTGTGACAATAGAATGTACAGTTGGAGCAGTATCGCCTTTTCTACCACAGGATGACCCTGTGGAGATTCCAGTTTAGAAAAGGTCACCAGCAACCATAAGCTGGTTTTGAGAGCGACCAAATAGATTGGGTGGTCAGTCTCGGCAACTTGGTTGACTGTGTGTCTTCATACCCTGACAGCTTGAATCGACACCCACAGCCTGTCATATCCATAGCACAATCTGAGCAATCAAAGTCAATCCCCAGACCCAAACATCCTCCTATTACATTAAAGTAGGTCCAGGATACTGCAACTTTCGAAGCTTAAGTGTTATAAAATTCTGTTTGGTCCAGCAAGCAGAGCCTATCATAGTCCATATACCAACACTACAATCTACTGGAAAGTATGCTACTAGCATCCAGTTCAGGCAAGTAGATTGCATACATATTATTATCCCACATTTTTACATCACACTTCTGAAAATTCAGATCACACATGCCAAATCTTGTTCCACACACCAGTGTAAGCACTATGAATATAGTAAGTCTGTGTTTAATCACACAAGTTAAGATAATCGTAGTACTAGGTTCTCTTTGTTATCCTAACTGCTGCTTACAAGGTTACAATTTCAGCACCACAATTGCTTAATGGGCTGCTATTGTAGCACTTAGACTTGAAAATCTGTAAGTTTGGGAGTTGCGACAGCTGTGGTGCTAAGATGGCTTCATTAAGGGGGTCCTAATAACTTATGATCTCATAATGCCATACTGGGAAACAGCTGTAGCCTATCACACTTAAACAAGTGGTTGTCCTATGGATAGCAAGTGCATGCAAAACCTATGCATGTGGAGACATTGCAAGAAACTTGTATTGCCACCTGTCACTCATCAGTATTCTTCGATCGTTATCTCAACAGTTGCTACACATAATGACATTGACACATAACAACAAGTGGTATTTACATAGAAACAATTACATCCCATGATCGAAATACTGTTATCTAATGTCTTGGAGTAGTATAAGCTACATGGTAAATTGATATGTCAAAGTAAGGTTACAGATATTCATATTTCCTATGCACATAAAAAGCTTTCACATAATATTTCGTTTCAGTTGTCAACACAGTAAATACCAAATGTTTTTCTATGGATGGAATGTTTTTATAGGAATATCAAAAATATTCTTTTGGATTTTTTTTCTCAATTTTGTTAAATGGTTCACCTAATACATACAATTTTGAATCTATATATCAGTGTTAGTAACTGATACAGCATGAACTTTAGGTTCTAGAGATATCCTAATGATAGCCTAAGATTCCAATACAACAGCAGCAAATCAGAAAGACTAATTTAAAAACTGTATTTATGAAATTATAAGAGTCTTTGGTCATAGTATTGATTGTAAAGACCCCCTCTCTGAAAGCTTTCATTCTTAACTTTGATTTTCATCCACAGTTTTGAACACTTTTAAAGCAGTTAGCCCACACCTGGCTCTAAGCATCATTTTCAGAAAACAATTATTATTTTTTGTGGACAATTTTTATCTGAGCTCACTTGCCCAAACATAATCTTACATGACTTGGGCATCAGTCTAGTGGCTTAAGTAGTAGACTGCTGATATGTGTTCACTGAAATTTTATTGCTGTTGAAAGTTTCTGACAATGTAATCTTAAAACCCAATTGACCTACATTATAC